CTCTTCGTAATGTGTGGACAGTGTTGCCCACTGTGAATATTGAAAAATGTCAATGATTCCATTAAGTCGCACAATACTGTAGGTTATTCCTCCAAATCTTGTTTAGAGTCCCAGAGAACCCGTTTTAGATCATTGGATAATCACGAATAAATTATAGGTTAGTCATCAGACTGTCTTTTTTAAAAGTTTCGCATTCCTGTCGTACAGTTGGTTCATCCTCCGTTGTATCTTGGACACCTGGATGATTGCCAGCCACTGCTCTAGAGGAGGAAAGTTATTTGATTCCATCTTTTTATTATTTGAAATTTAACTAGAGAATATATCTGAGCTCTGCTGTCAATGGAGGTTTGAAATTTCTTACATATCGTACATTAATAAGGGTGAAGGAGTACTCTATGCTCAGGAGGCACTTCGATTGTTAAGCAGAGATATCAGTTCCTCCAGTTTTGATGTGTAATCGGTGCTATCTCTTAGTAAGTAGAAATATGGGCACAGTTTTGGACTTTAACTGCAAACCAATTTGCCAATATAATTTTTAAGACTTTGCTGAATTTCCACTGTTTATTATTATTTGTGAAATAATTCAAGAAAATTTATATAAGCAGCGAGATATAACGTCGATGAAGTCCAAATCTGATGATTGCAATAGGTGAGGAAATAAACCGAAGAGTTTTTTGTAGTGGGCTACTCAGCCAAAATAAATCCTGCTATAGCTTAAGAACTAGCCTTGTCCTCGACCGATCGATCCAAGGTTTAACCTTGTTTAAGCTATTGCCTGTTCAAGGAAGAAGTACTCCTTTTTTTGCTGAGTGAGGGGTGTGATAAACTTGATGACGAATACTTGTGGAGATGTAGAGTTTTAGTGCTAAAAAGCTGGGGTTAAGAAGGTGATATGTGTGATATGGAGTGCACAAGAGGAATTATTGCGAAGAAAGCTAAACAAGTCGAAGGGAGGTATTTCAAGGAGTTACCAGCCATACTGGGAACGGCTCTTAATCAGCGTTTTTGGCTTTCAGTTGTTAGCAGCGATATTTAATGGGAATTGTTTATAATATATCAAAATACTCATCAGGAAGTTCGTTTCCAGTGTTATGTAGAAGTCTTTCTGGAGAGAATGAAACTTTTTTTTTGGGAACTCTGCTGAGTATTTGCCCTCAGCGATTGTATGGCGTCTTTAGTATTTGTTTGGCTGGCTTGTCCAAGTTTGCAATAGTGCAAAGGACATACCTCCTGCTGTCCTCGACCGAAAAATACACTACTTTTATTTTAATTTGTTCGTGGTTGCCCCCAATCACATATGCACAGTGATTTCCCAGTCGAGAGGCCAATGAACTAATGGATAATAACCGTGATTTTTATTGGGCCAGAAAGAATAAAGTTCTGATTTGTTCGTTCTGGCTACAGTTCACCTTCGCTATATTCCATTTTCAAAGTAAATAAAGACAAAATAAGAGCTATGAAAGTAAAGTTTTATTAAACATGTATACCTAGTTAATTATACATTTCATTTACTAATATGCTAATGTAGTATTTCAGTGATATGTCATTTACTCGTCCACTTATTCGTCACGCGCACATGCAGTCGATATACAGCGACGTTTATTTCTACCAATTTTCTTACCATGGACAATTAGGAGGAAATAGACCATATCTTGAAGGTAACAATTATTTTTTTCTAATGAAATATACCTGCTAAATCATTACTCAACGTATTTATTTTATATATCATGTTATTCTTTTTTCATACATTGTTTACCGGGCTATAAGCCTTGAAGCGGAATTATTTCCTACTAACGTTTTATCTGCGCTTTCGACAGACATTATCAGACGTAATGCAAAAACTATTTGACTTATACAATTTAATATGTTGTGTGATTGATTTTTTTTCATTGCCACTTTTTGCTTTTACTTTAAAATAATCGTAAAATTTGAGACAAAAATTTGAGATCAAAACAAAGGTCCAAACTTGGAATTGCTCATTGATAATACTAAAACTTTTAGGTGCTGATAGGGTAGCTCACAGCGAAGAAAGTAACTACGTTTGGTGTTACGGAAACTGGTCATATTTGGAATATTTTCCACCAGCCGATGTCTTAACCAGTGAAAGATATCGTACCTTAATTACCAACTTCGTGAAATATTTGTAAGTATTATATTTGTAAGTATAACATATTGCAGATAATAATGCAAATGAAAATTCTAATAAAATTGTTAAAAATAATTAATTGTGACGTAATAGTAACCAATATCGATCATAATAGGACAAACCTTTTCTATTTGTTCTCTTTTAAACTTTACAAACACAACACCGAAAGTAACATTGTTTTTAATCTATATGATAACATTTACTAGTAACCTAACAAATATTTCAAATTAATTATTGAACGAATATGTATATCGAATACATAATATTGACAGTAATTCTTAATAACTTACTGGAATAGTAGTAAACCCGGTTCCCTATTCTCAGATCGAACTATCTATTATAGTGAATTTGGTAATATTTTTTTGGGAAGTTAGTTACTTTTTGACAGACTCGAAGTGGCTGGAAATTACTATACAACCAAGCATACGTGCTCTTAGTCAATACTATTGTAAACAAAAGTAAATAAAATAGAACTTTGCGAATTACCGACAATCAATATTTATTTATTTACACACCGATAAATGTATTGATAACAAACATTAAAATTATTATTGTACAAAATAAAAATAGTGGGATAAATTCTAATAAATTAACAAGTCAAAGTGAGGTTAAATGGGACACAGCAAGTTCCTTATGTTGTGACTAGGATGAAATCAATGGTTAACGATTAACAGTTCATTGAATGCCATTAACATAAACTGTGGTTTTAATTATCTTACAAAATAAGTGTACTTCCATATGCTAAGAGGATTTAGAAGAGGATTAATAATAAAGACTTTAAAAACTTAGTTGGTTGCCTACATTTGGCGCAACTTAACGACATAAACTAAATTAGCCTAACTTTTTTATAAAATATATTTTTTTATATATAATAAAAACTTACTTTTTTATAAAATATATTTTTTTTATATATAATAAAAACTTACTTTCTAATACATCCGATAAATTTCTAAGCGAATTTGATTTTTGATACTATGATTTAAGTCAGTCGTTAATTTTTTATTTTGCGATTGTGCTTCTATGTTAAGGTTAATTATGCCCATCTTTATATTTCCGCACACTTTTTTCTGAGACTTTCAGACATTTGGATGTTAACTGAAATATTTTTGTTATCAAGAACATTTTTAAACATTTACATAATTCGATAAATACATTTTACTGAGCAACTTACCTCAACAGGGTTTTCATTCGGCAAATAATTAAAAAAAACGGTAGGCATTTTTGAATAAACTTTTGTGTAGTTTCATTACCTTGTAATTTTGGAACAGCATCGTTACTCATCTAAAAATAATAACTTTAAAGAGTAATGTTATCATATTTATTAAGAAAAACTTACCAACGCATTAGCTGATGGAACAAATGGAAACCTTTGACTATGTATATATAAAAAATTTAAAATATAACTAACTAATTAACTAAACAGAACTAACAAAAGAATTAAAACAAGGATAATAAAACAATATTAAATTTAATAAACAAAGCGAATAACTCCAATATTTTACGTGAATAATAACAATTCAAATATTATATTTTAAATATACAGGGAAAATTTGATGGGTTTAGTATACACTTCCACTATTTAAAATAATTCTTCTTTTTTCAAAGAAAGAAGTCTGCAATAGTAGTATACTTGAGATATTAATACTGAGAAGTAGGAATTGTTGTGTTGTAGGTTTTCCGACAATGATTCTGTCAAAATATGCCCGAGCTAAGCGAATGGAGTATACATCGAGTTAGATCACAGAATACTCCGTTGGGATGGTGTATTTCTGTGATAGTATAGAATTTTAGCAACTTTAAAGAATTTAGTAACGTTTTACTCAGATCCAAACAAAAAATATTTGTCGGCTGTACGCAATTGTAGCACAACAACAAAAAAACTGGTAATTTTTTAAAACAGGGTTTAAAGGTTTGTGTGCCAATAATTTTGTCTTATTTGTTTTACTACCTGGATTGGGATTTTTGGAAAAAAATAAATGTTGGCGTATTTGGGAGAGTCTTAGGTAGCCTTTAATGAATTGTAACACAGACTTTTAAATTAAACTGTTATTTTGACTTGTGCCACTATTGCACATCAATATATTGTCTTTCAAAAGTAATTAAGACAAAACTATCATTTTTTTGGTATTCGTATCAACTGAAATAAAGGTTCAATAAATAATACTACAAGTACTTCAATGAGTAAACTGTGTTTATTAACAACTATAAGAAAACCGAAATAAAAAAAGTATATAAGGAAAAGTTATGATTAAGAATGCTTTAAATGTCGGTAGAAATCAGCGTGAATAGGTGGAACACAAAACCTGAAAACATTAGTCTCGAACGGTCAGTAGGATTCAACAAAACCTCAGTTGCAGAATTTTTTAAAAATTATGAGTGTTTTATTACTAAATACTCATTAACACTAGATCGCAAAATTAATATTGACGAAACAGGTATTACCACCGTAAATGACGACGCACAAAACTTTAGCCATAGTATCAGCTTTTGGGAATATTGTACCCCTATATTTATTTTTCCACGAGTTCATTATAAACCTCACTTCATAAATGGTGCTCCTGAGGGAAGCTTAGGCCTCGCTACGAAAACTGGTTGGATGAATTGTGAGTTATATCTGGAAAGCACTACGACATATCCAAAAACATACTTGCTGCTCAAGCAAAAATCTGATATTGCTGCTTGTGATAACCACGCATATATCAATTGAAGCTGTTGATTACTCCAAGGAAATGGCATAGTTTATTTATCGTTTCCTCCACATACCTCACACAAGTTACATCCACTTGATGTGGGGGTATTTGGTCCCTTTAAAAGCAAGTTAAAATTTGCCTTTAACGATTGGCATACTGGCCACCCAGGTAAAGCCTTAAACATTTATGAGATACCAAGTCTTGCTAAACAAGCATATTTTGAAGCATTCACGGAAAAGAACATTACTAGTGGATTTATGAAACCAGGCATTCACCCTTTAAACAAACTTGTTTTTTTCTGATGAAGATTTTGCTCCTTGCGACATTTATGCTTCCGATGTAATCTAAACAGACCCAAACGTTTTGGAAAATCCTTCTGTTTCCCAGTTGCTCAACCCGGGCCTTGCACACCAACGCAATCACTTCCAGAAGATAATTAATCGTCATTTGGCGCTGTTCAACGGCTAGAACTTGACCGTCAACACCTGCTTCTTTAATTATAAGTCATGAGAGTGTAAGAGCTTACCCAAAAATAAAGAAAATCGCAAAACAACGAAAAGGAAAGGAACGTGGTAAATCACATATTTACACTTACACTCCCGAAAAGGAACGACTTTTAAGTCGATAATTTTTCGAAACTATAATACCAAACAAAAGACAGATTAGAGAATTAAGAATTGCTAGGAATATTAAAAAATGTCCTTAAGGGAATAAACCAAGAACGCCAACTTTTCGAAACCATCAAGAAAAGGAAAACGGCTTATCTAGGTCACATCATGCGAAATAAAAATACCACTTCCTCCAACTTACAATCGAGGGTAAAATTGAAGCAAGAGAGGAATGGGACGCAAGAAAATGTCCTGGCTCCGAAACATAAGACAATGGACAGGGATTAACGACATACAATCTCTGATACATATTGCAAGAAATAGCGAATTAATGGAAAATGTGATCCCTAAACATCCATAGTGGATTTGCATCTGAAGAAGAAGAAATATTGTAGTTCTTGCTGATTCTAGTAATATCCCAAAGAAAATTACTTAAAATAAAAAAATTGAAAGTGATAGATTCTTCTGAAGAATTTGAGGCGATGAATTTATCATCGGAGTTATCAAATGATGATAGCCCTGCTGATTTGCTCCAATCATCCCTAGAAAATATAAATGAAGGTGACTTTTTAGTAATAAAATTTGAAAAAAAAAAAGAAATCAGTTGTGCACTATGCGCAAAGTCTTGGCCAAACATGATAGCTTGGAGTATCATATCTTACCTAAGTAAGAAACCGGAATCGTGGACTTTATTCATTTATAAGTGTAATAATGTACCCCTAACTGTACAAAACTGCCTCATGAGTTGAATCATTGTAACCCTAAAGTGGGGCACTTTGATGCATTGACTAGGTTTGAGAATCACACAAATATCTATTTTTTTAACATTTCTCTATTTTAGAGACATTTTATTAAAAATAGGTCAGTTATTACTGCATTCTACGAAAAATTACATTTTATACTCATTAAATTCTGAAACAATTGGTAGTAGAAAAAAACTGTATCAATGGGCCCCCACGTTTGGAAACAATTTTTTGAATAAAATTTGATAATTTTTACTGCTTAACTTTATTTATTTTTAAATTTTCATCAACTGCTATAAAAGTAACCATAATATAACTTCTGTTTGTAGGAATCCAACTCCAGAACCCTCAGAACTTTTGGAGAACATCATTTGGCCGCCGGTGAAAAACTACGATTTTAAGTACCTAAACATAAATGACACTTTAAGTATCGAGACTGACCCTAAAAATTTAACTTATCCACAGTGGGTTAAATTGTACGATGATGATAGCTACAGACCATTTATTACTTATTAAATGTAATAAAGATATACTTTATTGTTTTTTGTTTTCATTTATCAAAATCTCGACGTGTTTGTTGTCGGCCGAACATGTATTATTACTTACCTCCGCATTGCTGTAGATTCTTCCATGTCCAAGGCCATAAATAAAAACAATAGTAAAAAAAATATTTATTAAAAACTTATCAAATACACTTAAACTAAAATGCCTTTCTTCTTGATAGAAAAAGCACATCATTCGTTAATCTGCGCCTCGAAAGTCAAGGCTCTAGACAAGTTTCTGGCAGCAGCTAATCTTAAGATTTCTATTTTATCGTTTAACTCGGGTAAATCTTTCTTTTCCTCTAAGCAATGCATGATGGTGAATGTGTCGTTTGAGGAAAATACCATGTCGGCGCTTTCCAGCAAGGGGATTGATTCTATTAAGAGTACATACCAGAAGCTAAAAAAAGAGAAGAATGTCAGTCGAAAAAATTATACTGCTGAGAAAATACTGTAGTACCATTTTCTTCCTATTTTTTAATAAGATATACTAAAAATGGTTTGCAAAGTTATTAAAATCTTGTTGAAACTTTTATAAAAATGTAAAATGTTTATAGAGTAAATAAAATCTTGTAAAAACTTAACAATTTTTTAAAAATACTGGCAAAAATTAAGTGTTCAGTTATTAAAATTGTGTTAATTTTTATTTTTCATAAGACGAAACTACATTTTGTATAACTTTGGCAACACTGACCACAGTTATCTCTATAGAACATCCAAAACTGCAATCGCTGTCAATGCTTGTCATTCATGTAAAAAATTCAAATTTTTAAATGAATTTATATTAAATAATTTAAATAAAAAACTAATTGTATAAAATATACACTTTAATATAAAACCTCCACATTAAAGTTGATGTAAATTAAAAATACATCTTAAAATTACAACTGACACATGTCATGAACCGGAAAGGTGGGTAACTGTCATTGATTAGAATCTATGGAGAAGCTATGAGCATATTAACGTATGTGTATAAAAAACGGCGTAGGTAGCGTGGCTAACGATAATACCAATATGGCGGTGGGATCAGGTCCAGACTCAACAATATTAAAACTACTATACAAATATAGTTATTCAGAAGTTTTAATCATAATCTAAAAAAATGCAATAAATGTTAATAAACTATGATTTATATTATCCCGCATTTTTTATTATCCCATATTTGTATATTAACCTGTGGAACGATATTCTTAAACATTTTTATTAATATGCTTCTGCTACTGCAACTACGTTAAGAACAAGAAACCATTATTATGCACCATCACAATACATTATTACAGTTTCTATAAAAGTATTACAAACTAAAAATATCGAAAACAACAAATGTAAACAAACATACGATCTGTCAAAAGTGTCAAAACAAATTAACAATATGGCCGAAGTGAGATCGTTTTTAGTCACGTGATAGCCCTCTCCATAGATTCAAACTCGATGGCACAGAATAATAAACAATCAGAATGCCAACTCCTCATGGAAAAGTACGCGCATCTCCTTCGCGCAGACGTTCCGCCATGTTTTAGAGGGAACCATATTGTTTTATGTGGTGTACATAGAAAAATTAACCCGATTTAATTGACTTACGGCAATCATAGACATACTATATAATTATATTAACATTGTTAAATATAATATAATTAACATAAATATAAACAATTACATAACCTCACAAATCATATGTGTGTGTGTGTTATGTGTTTCCTTCTAAAACATGGCGCGCGTGCTGAAAAACTTCAAAGGCAGCATCTGAGAGTGGGCATTCTGATTGTTTATTATTCTGTGTCGATGGTAACTGTCATGGAGCCATGTTAAGCAATTATTCGTGATCTATTATTCGCTGTGAAAATTGTAATTTTCTGCATTTGACTAATCGCTTCACTAAACAATCAGAATACGTAGGCGCAGTCGGAATCAGTCATATTTTAGTCGGAACCAGTACTATTCAGTGACATTTTATCTGGTGTGCATAGACAAATTAACCCGGTTTAATTTATTTACGGCAACTACAGACATAACATGCACTATTTTATTCGTACTTTTAGTTGAAGAATTTATTTCAAATGTACTAAATTATTAATCTCAAAAAATTTAAATTACAGTTCTGTCGTAGCTTGTCACAAATGTCTTAATTCGAGTCTATATTTCCGTCTAAAACATGGCGATCGCGTGCTGACAAACTTCAAAGGCGGCATCTGAGAGTGGGCATTCTGATTGTTATTTATTCTGTGGTATGGATATCATAAATGTTGGTCTCAAGTCGTAAATAACTTAAGTGCATTATTTCTAAAACAATTATTTCATTTAAAAGTAAAAATACGTTTCAGATTGTCAAATCTGATAAGATTTAAATACATCAATGCAAGTAATTTTGCCTACCTTACAGATTCGAAATATAACAACTACAGAAATATCACATGTGAGGATGTGTTAGTTTTATTATCCTATTTTAAAGCTAAAAAATTTAGCAAAACTGAAATATCTTTAAAAAAACAAATTGTTTAATTAGTAAATAACAACAAATACATTATTGATTTTACCTTATATTGTGAAAATAAAGAAGGTAATGGTGAACTTACTATTTAGGTATTATTTTTGAAGCTAACAGTGAAATTAATAGGGCAGCTGCTTCCCTGTACTCCCCGTTTTGATACAATTTATGAAATTCATAGTATTTACCTAGAAATAATAATTAATTTTGGGTTAATCACATAATACTATCGATTTATAGACTATGTATATATATATATATATATATATATATATATATATATATATATATATATATATATATATATATATATATACATCTATATAATTTTAACTTACCTAAAAATATTAATCTATCACTGACGAGCATGCCAGATCCCAAATTGTCCAACAAATCGGTACTTCCCAACCTGCCACTTTTGATATAATCTTGCAAATACTTGTCGGCTAAGAAGGACGTGAATGGACCGTCCTGTGATTTTAAAGCCCACGACAGAGCATTACCTAATCTTCCTCTGCGCATCGACAACATTCCTTGCACTTTACAAACACTCTGAACTGCAGAAATAGAAATAATATCAATACAAGATTATTAAAATAAAGAAAAATCGTTATTTAAATATTTAGGCTAGGTAGATTCATAACTCAACAAGAAAAAATGGTAAAAAAGCACCAGTTCTCAAAAAAACTGATGACTGTATGTGAGCACAACAGCCTGATATACATAAAAACAATTGAACACTCTTTGTTGCAACAACTGTAACACTTTTTTCTTCTACTTCTTCTTAGCTTTCTGTCGTCCATATTTGGACATAGGCCTCTTCCAACTCCTTCTATCGGTCTCTATCCTGAGCAACATATTTTCCAATTTGTTCCAGCTATTCTTTTAATGTCATTAACCCATCTCATCTGTGTCTTCCTCTTGGTCGTTTACTTTCGTAAGGTCTCCAATGTTGTATTGTAGTATTCCAACGTTGGTCTTTCTGTCTAGCAGTGTGGCCGCGAAGCTCCATTTAAGTTTGGCAATTTTTGTTGTTATGTCCTCGACTTTTGTTTTGGATCTTACCCAGTCGTTCCTCTTTTTATCTAACAGTTGTATACCTAACATTGCTCTTTCCATTGTTCTTTCTGTTGTGGCTAGTTTATTCATATTTGCCTTGGTTAGGGTCCAGGTTTGACATCCATATGTCATGATAGAAAGGATGCATTGGTTGAACACTTTGCTCCTCAAGTATTGAGGTATTTTGCGGTTCTTAAGTATCCAACTAAGTTTTCCAAATCCTGCCCTTTTTTGGTAAAACTATTTTACCATAAGTAATTTAACTGTTAACAAATGAAATAAAAATATGATAATGTACAGAGTTTCTCTAAACTGTTAATTACAAAAACACTTACCAACATGGGTTAACTCTCTATTTTTGGCTTCTCTCAAAACCTTCTGTGCCTTGGCTTCAGTGTCCATGTGAATTCGGGGCAGAAGTAATTCGATAATTTGTAAACCATCATTCGGACAATGGTCTAAATATGTCAAGCCAACTTGCCATAACGACTTGTGGCCCATCAAGCTTGTTCCATAATCTAGGATGAAGGATTCTCGAAGTTTTTCAGCTGAACTAAAATATAGAGTGCTTATTATTTAATTTTACATTAATCTTGCATTAATAAGAATTGTGGATATATTAGGAATAAGTTTTTTAACAGAAATTTTAAGATATGGATTCAGGAAACTTAAAAAAATAAGTAGACCAAATACCAAAGAACCTTCAATCATCCCTGATCAAGAAAAACAAATTTTTTCAGGGATTCTACAGTATTCACTACCTTCCCTCGCTCAACCGTTTTCATCTCTCTCTGTTGTCTCATTCTCCATCGTTTAGGCATCTCTTGAGTCCCATAGTTCTGACCTTGAGACAGAGTCATACGCCTTGCTCAGATCTACAAATGCCAAATGTATATCTCTATTTTTTCCAACAGTTGTTCCAGTGTGTTTCCATATAATCTTCCTACTGATGATATTACATGCATTCCTCTGTAGTTTTAGCATCGTTTTCTATCTCATTTCTTAAATATAGATGTCATATATGCCTCCGTCCATTCCTTTGGGAGTTGTCTCCATTTATGGCTTTCTGAAATATCCATTTTATCATCCAGTGTAATTTTTTTCAGCCATACTTTATAAGCTCAGGTGAGATGCTTCCAGGTCTCGGTGCTTTCTTATTTTTGATTGCTTTTATGGCCGTTCTTATTTCCATATCCGTTATTTCTATTTTTTGTTGTGGGGATCTGCATCTCGTTGCCTGTTTTCTTTTTCAATAAATTGTGGTCTTTGTTCTGTTAACAGTTCCTTGTAATAGTACTTCCATCTTTATCTTGTATTCCATCACAATCTCCTAATAAAGTAAATATTTATTGCAATCAGACATGGAAAAATAATTTAATCAAAGAAAAAGATCCCTAATTATTAGTCGAATACAATAATTATCTAGAACTTCATTAAAAAATAATATGCCTACTATATCTCATATCAATTTTGAGAATAAAAGTACTTACAAATCAGGTACTTCTTTTTCCAAGTCCACTAATCTTCCACAATGATATAAGAGGTCTGTTAAATGGCTCACAAACCAACCATTATCATACATGTTCTGAATTTCTTTAATGACCTAAAAAAATAATTAAAAAAAAACTTACTCAAAGTACCTTCAATGGTAAGTTTACCCTAAAATATTACAAAATTTATATTGCCAAAGAATAAATTGGTAGTTTGGTCTAACGATAGTCTGGGCAATACAATGTATATAGATAAAACTTTGAACAAGTAGGAAGATATCATTAATCAAAATGAAAATCAGAAGCAATCAAATTAATAATTGAGCCAATGTAAAGGAGGTTTCTATTCTTATTTACCAAATTCATATAGGAACTGTCAAACAATATAAATGACTTCTACTTTACCTGAAATATATCAAAATCCATAGCAGCTAACAACACCTTATCCAACTGCTTCAAATGATTGTTCATCCTCAACTTGTTAATTGACCTTTTCGCAAATTGACCTAACTCAAATGACTTGATAGTGGGTTCAGTAAAAAATAACCAACCTGCCAAATAAGCATACCAGACCTCACAATAGTCTTGGATTTCTATCCAGGCTTGTTCTTCTCCAACTATAAGCTGAAAAGTTCAATAAATATTACATTTACAATACAAAAGAATACAAGAACAAAATACTTACCCTAGTCATAAGATCTAAATTTTTTTCAGAACTGAAAAGTTTGGCATCAATTTTTGAGTGTACATCCATCGTCCAATGCCTCCACTGCATGTTGAATTCATTTATAGGAGTACCACTAGCACCCTAAAAATGTATGGCTCACTTATTACAAGTGATTGTAGTGTCATAGTAATAAGGTAATGATGATATGAACATGATGATGCCACAATCATATTATTGTCAATGGAAGGAGTTTTTAAGGTTATAGAAACGCTCAAAAAATAAAAAAAAAACCTGAAAAGTGTGGAAAAGTTGCAAAGATGCTAAAGGCAGAAGGTGAAATGATAAAAAAGAAAATACACCAACTTATACATGCCATCTGGGAACAAGAAGAGATGCTGAAAGAGTGATTCAAAGTACAAAAAATGGATTAAGCTTTGCTACAACAATTGTAGAGGGATCATTCTATTAAATACTTGTTATAAAATACTAGCTAATATTCTATGTGACAGAATGAATAGCTCATCAGATGTTAAGCTATAACTAGTGTCATTATGAATAGAGAAGATTGCTGAAGGAGGCCAGGGATATAGAGCCATAGGAGGGATAACTACTATACACATGGAATGTTTCTAATACTATAACTTTCTTTACTATCAAAATGTTTTGTAACTTACATTAAATATAGGCATAGCTCTGAGAATCTGGTCAACCATTCTGAAAGTGCTATTGTCAGATGCAGAATGTTGCTTCAATAATGCCCTCACAAGTGGAATTCGTCCCTGCAATAATGCTCCCAAAACTGTATTCCAATATTCTGGGTTTGCTTCTAAGCCAATATTATTTTCTGCAAGCATACTTGCAGCATTTCTCTCATGTTCTGGGAAATGGAACCTGACCCACTCTAAAACTTGAGATAACACTACATTTCCCGGCACTGTGTCTATGAACAGGATTTCACATAAATGCCAGATGCATTCGATTGAATAGAATACTGTGATGTAGTTTTGTAGTTCGATTTTATCTTCTGGTTTTGACTTGGTGAGTTCATCTTGTAGGTTTTCTAGACAAGCTCGTATTATGGAACGATATTGCCTACTTATTTTAAACAATTCTGAACGTATATCAGGTGTTTTATTCCCAACTAAAGCTTGTATGGACAGAAATACCCCATTTGATTCATTCACTAATTTTCTTAATATTTGAGTGAAATAATACTACATCCTGTCTGAGATGAAATACGGAGACTGGGGTAGTTGATGCAAAATGGCTGGGTTCATCTTTTTGGCGAATATTTCGCTTTTCATAAGCAAAAATCGAAATGTGATCTAATGGTAACCATGCCCCAGCAATGCCAGCTTTCTTACAAACATCGTTTGGAATTAACTAAAAAGAAATTGGTTATTTATTGTTTAATATATCATCAGGTTTAACTTACGAATGTTTTTGCATCTGTTTCCATTTTAATTTGAATAATAACATGAGAGTCTAACCGGGCGTTATTGTTTGAGCAATTTGAGGTTACGTCTTTTAACACACATGAACACAACACAATATATATATACTATATATATATATATATATATATATATATATATGCAACCAGTAATGCACCTGTTCCTTATAGAGAGTGTGCTGGATTTTAAGTACAGTTGGAACCGTGTATGTTTATATCTGTATATATATACAGGGTGTTGAATCGTCAAACGGGCCATAGGAAACTCAATGGGAAATTCTAAATTGTTGAATTCCTGCTTCCCTAATTATTTTACACCAAAAGTCATGGGAAACTATTTGTAGAGGACTCAAATATGTATCGAAAACAACTGTTAAAATTATTCTACGACTTAAAGGTATTCCAAAATTTTGCTAAAATATAATACATTTTTCTGTGAAAAAATGTGTATTACGTGTTGCGTTTTGTCATATTATTGTTTCTGATATTTGACAATATTTAAATCAATTATATTACATTTATCTATGATTTAAATGGCCAAAATTTTGTGATTTATTGTTAAAAAAAATTAAGTTGATTAAAAAATGTACTCAGTTGAGGAGAAAAAAGCAATAATAAAAATTTTTTATTCATGTTTTATTATAACACTTGTTATAGTTTTATGTTTATAAATTATCATATATTATTATTAGGAATAAAGATCACAGTAACAGTATATTGGAATTCATTGAATTGTTGTATAACTTTACTTAACATGGAATTAAATTTTAGTGAATTAGAATATCTTACGTTAAATAAAGATCCGGTAGTGGCAGGAAAAGGTTCGCGCTATTGCCTGAGTACAACATTATGCGATTTTTCGTCAACTGAGTACATTTATATTGATCGATTTGTAAACAATATAATTTATTGTTCACAAAGTAATAATGTTCATTAGTAGTAGTATTTAGTAAAATTCATTGTTTATAATTTAATCATAAAATAAAAAAATTGACAATTCAAATTGTCAAACATCTGACATAAATATGATAAAACACAAACGTCCTAATATATATTCTTGCATTACGTGTGGCCTAACTTTTAGGGGTGGCCTGAAAAATGTATTATATTTTAGCAAAATTTTGGAATACGTTTAAGTCGTAGAATAATTTTAACAGTTGTTTTCGATACATATTTGAGTCCTCTACAAATAGTTTCCCATGACTTTTGGTGTAAAATAATTAGGGAAGCAGGAATTCAACAATTTAGAATTTACCATTGAGTTTCCTATGGTCCGTTTGACGATTCACCACCCGGTATAGGTATACTTCATCTAATTTACATACCGATGCACGTCATTATCTACGTCAGAGATCGAAGTTGACATAGTTGCCAAAGTATAAAAAAATCCTGACTCCATTTTAAATCAAATAGATTGCAAAAGTATTACCATCTCTGACACTAGTTTATTTTTTTCGTCCACAAAGAATACAGGTGATTACCATGGAAATATGGATGCAAATATTTTTGAAGAATGGTTTGAAGAAAATTTGTTAAAAAAATTGGAGCGACCATCCATAACAGTGTTGGATAATGCATCCTACCACTCAAGAGTATAAGAGAGATTTCCTTCAAGCTGCTGGACAAAAGAAGAAATAAAGTTGTGGTTGACAGAAAAGAAAATTTATCACAGTGACATATTTTTAAAAGTCGATTTACTTCAAAGGTGTGGAGAGCACAAAATTCTAAAGAAATTTGTTACTGACCAAATGGCTTTTAAATATGGCCATGAAGTTTTTCGACTTTCGCCCTACCATTGCCACTATAATGCAATTGAGTTAGTTTGGGGTATAGCCAAAAAATTTTATGATAAACATGCATCCGAAACAACAGATGACTAGATGATTAGTTTATGGAAAGAATCGCTAAAACAAATAAAGGCAGAACAATAGCAAAATTGTATTAGACATACGGAAGACATAATCGTTCAGTCTTTTTAAACCGAGCGAGTTATATATGAGGTCCGGCCTCTAATTATTCGGATAGACAATTCAGATAGTGACGACTCTGCTAGAGAAATATCAGACAGTAAATAGAACAAATCGTTTGCTAAAAAGAAGTAACAAAAAAGTGTTTCGAGAATTTAATTCGGACTTTGTGGTGTGATTTAGTTAAACGATAAAGTACCTTCGGTCTAATTACTGGACTGCATACTCTCAATAGCTTTGGTATTAATTGCTGGACTCTCTCTCTTCAATCCTGACCCCCCAGGGGGAGTGTAGTGGTCGACGTGATGTCGTGTATTGTCCGTCTCCAGAGATCTCTGTCTCTGGTCATTTCTTTTAATTCATGCATAGGTCTTTGGCATATTCCTGTAATTTGATCTATCCATCTTGTTGGGGATCTTCCTCGTGATCTTCGGCCTTCTACCTTTCCTTGTATTATGAGTCTTTCCATGTTTTCTGTGTTTGCTCTCATAACATGCCCAAAATATTTTAATTGTTGGAGATGGACTTTACTAGAGAGTCGTTGGCTAACTTTTAGCTCTCTTAAAATTGAATTATTTGTTCTACGGTCGGTCCAAGGAATTCGTAACATTCGTCTCCAACAGAACATTTCAGTGGCGTCTATCTTTCTTCTCTCCGATTGTCTCAGAGTCCAAGATTCACATCCGTAGGTCAGTATTGGGAATATTAAGCAGTTGATCAACCTCATCTTTATCGCTCTTGAAATTTGACAGTCCTTCCATATTTTGGTCATTTTTGCTGTGGCAACTTTTGCTAGATCACATCTACGTTTAATCTCTTCTTGTAATGACCCTGTGTTTGTGATTAATGATCCCAGATATAAGTATGAGCTCACAACCTCGAACCGGTCAATTGTGGTTATGTGTGGATGATTGTTGTGTAGTCTATCCACTATCATGATCTTTGTCTTTGATATGTTTAATTGCAGACCAAATATTTGACTTTCGTTTTCGATCAGTCGTATAAGTTCCATCAGCTCTGCTTGACTATTTGCAAGAAGGGCTGTGTCATCTGCGAAACGTAGGTTGTTTAGTTTATGACCATTTATTGAGATGCCCTTTTCCCATCCTTCAAGTGCTCTTCGCATAATATACTCCCCATATATGTTGAATAATTGTGGAGATAGTATACATCCTTGTCTGACACCCCGTTCTGGATGAAACTCGTTCGAAAGTGTGTCAAGTACTTTAACTGATCCAGTAGTGTGTTCATATAGTTCAGTTATAAGCGTAATTAGATGTTGTGGTACGCCTACTTCTTTTAGTATTCGCCATAAGTGTCTCCACTTGACCCTGTCGAACGCTTTACGGTAATCTATAAAACAGATGTATAGTGGGATGTTGAATTCCCTAGATTTCTCGATTATCTGTGTTATATTGATCAGGGACCTATATAAAGATGATCAACGCTCTTGGCGTTGATCATCTTTATATAGGTCCCCTGCAATACGATCTCCATGTCTCTGCTATGTCTTCTCTGTTTGTTCTTAGGGTTCCAGTGTTATCTTCAATGGCCCAAGTTCTGGCTCTGAAGTTTCTTGTCAGGTAGCGTATTTTTCTAAATAGATCTCTCGGCTGATTATACTGACCATGTCTCTCAATTGCTGGACTACGCGTGTTTAAACCTGTTTTATTTGTTTTGCTGAAAACTCGGAAGTGATTTAGTGCCAATTTGTTTAAAGGTTATATTTAATACAGTGTCTGCAGAAAGTAAAGTCTTGATGTATTTTATTCAAATTTGGACATACCAGTAACTTGGCAAGTATTTTTCAATTATATACACGCCTTGTATATAATATATTATATTCATTTTATTTGCCTTTGATACAGTAAAATCCAATATTATTACTGAACATAAAATACAGGAAATTAAATATTTTTACTTTTCAAGCGATCGGAATTAAATATTAACGCCCCACTGTTTGAGGCCCACTGATCTTAATTACATATCGGCCGTCATAGGGTAAAAGGAGTATACAGAGTGGCCCAAAAGTCTAGAAACGGCCAATTATCTCGTAAATTGCTAGTTATAATTGTACAAAATTTGAGGTACACCTATTTTGGGATACGGAGATTCCATATTTGATATTTGCAATGTTGCCAGATTTGCCGTTTCTCTGATATTATTAGTAACTTTGGTTTTTCAAATGCATCACCCTGTATATTCAGTCATTATTAGAATCTTCTATTCAATACGAGTTCAACTATATGTAACACTTATGATTTTTTATAGTCTGGAAGGTCTTAAATACATAAAACAGAAGTCTGCCAACGCCTAATTGTTTCAATAAATTTTTTGATACTAATTATTTTCAACTACATTAAAACGTAACAATTGATAGATTAGACCATTTTTTAACAATAGTTACGTTATTAAGTGTTCAAAATGTGCTCAATTTGTGAGTTGACAGTACCCTAATCGATGGTAGAATGCGTCTACCACATTTCTCCATGATTGTCTAGAAATTATTTGAGATTAATCGATAATTCGTTGCCTTTGCTCTGCAAGACTTGGCTGGTTAAGTTTGTAAACTGAATTTTTCAAGTATCCCTAATAAAAATAATCTTTAGGATTGAAATCGGGTGAACGTGGAGGCCATTCAATTCTACCTTGTCTACCAATAATCCGTACGATAAGTACGGAAAATATCTCATCTAAATAACGCCGAACATTTACACCAACTATCTGACGTTAAATTTCCTTCGATAAAAAATGACCCAATTGACTAAGTACCTACTATACCTGATCATACATTTAATTTTTGTGGTCTGGTATGGTTTTCACGCATTCAGTGTGAATTTCATACGAGTTCAACTATTCAATACGAGTTCAAAAATATGTAACACTTATGATTGTATGTAGTCTGGAAGGTCTTAAATACATAAAACAGTGCAAAATATGTAGATTTTAATAAATTTAAATATTTAAATGTAGAATGCTGTGATATTGACATTTGTTCACGATTTACATTATAAACGAAAACTGACAGTAGTTGTGTTTCGAAAAGTTCTGCAATTTAAATTGCTTCTCTAAAATGCCGTTCTCTAAACCGTTCTCCTATTCATAAGGCGAC